GTGATTTAGATTAACGAGGCCCCTCCTGGAGGAGGCCCTCCAGGGTGTGAATTGATTTAATCAAATCAGCTCTGAACTCCGGAAAAGCAGCCGCTGGACTGCTCCACCCTCTGGGAAGGGAGGCAGGGCTGCGGTCCATCTCCTGCCTCCTCTTCTCAGTTCCTTCGGGGAGGGCATCAGTAACATGCATGTAACACACTGTAGAAGTCACCACCTTACCCCATCCCTGGAGACGAAGTCTCCCTGTGTTGCCCATGGCCAGGCACCGACCATTCCCCAGCCTCTGGGGCACCTGGACGACAGGTTGTGCCACTGTGCCCAGGCTCCTTTGGACTGTTTCTCAGCTCCAAGGCATCGAGCACGGCCATGCTGCCGTGCAGCTGTCCCAGCCACGAACAGGCCTCTTTGCCTCCTGCAACCCTGAAGCTCCACCCTCATCACACCACGCGCCCCTCCCCGCCCCAGCCCTGAGCCACCGCTCAGCCTGCTGTCTCCATGACACAGGTGACTGGGGACTCACACAGGCAGAATAGCAGGGCTCATCCTTCTGTGTCATGGGCTCCACATCGCCCACACCTGTCCACACCACATGGGGATCAAATACCCTGGCCTGCAAGGGCTGCACAGGACTCCAGGGGAGGCGCTGCCAAGGACCATATCCCACGCTCGGGGCCAGGCCGAGTGGTTCCACTCCTGCTCCCAGTCAGGCAGAGGGCGGGAGGCGGGCTCTTACACGGAACGGAAGAGTACAGAAAATCTCTGGGTGGACAACGCAGGTGACTTCGGGTTGATCTTTAAGGGATAAAGCAAATGGGACTCCTCATTAGCTGCCTCCAGTGGCGAGAAATCGCCTGTCTCCAGGCAAAACTGCTTTATCTGACTGGGCTCTGCCTGCCTTGGACAACTGGCTGAATGTGGTGTTTAGCAGGAGGGACTCCATCTTGGTCCAGCCTGGGCTGCGGGGCCTGGTGCAGGAGCTCAGCCCCAAGGTCGGCCTCAGTGATTTCATGAGACAGCACCACGTTCTGTGGGCTCCAGGCTGTTTCTGCCTCACACTGGGATCAGAGCTCAGGGCACAAGGGTGTGCAAGCTTGTCTTCCAGCCCCTGCTTCTGATTCTTCGAGAGTGCACCTACCGGCTCACTCAGTCTTACTACACGGAATACTCCAGGAGCTAATGTGGCGTGGTGGTACACACTTGTAATCCCAGCCCTTGGGATGCAGAGTCAGGAGGATCTCTGGGAGTTCAAGGCCAGCCTGGGCTCCATAGTGAGTTCAAGACAGTCTGAACTACATAGTGAGACCCGATCTCACCCCCCCAAAAAAGCAAAAAACCCTCCAGGAGCCATGTCTGCCACCTTCAGTGTTGTGCATTCTATGTCTCTGCCAGCAAAATGCAAGGGTTTGGTTTCTTTGTGTTCTTGCTAACATCTGTTTTTCCCATTTTCTTGAAAACAACCGCGCATGGTGAGAAGCGGATCTCACTGGGCCCTGACCGTCCCATCTGAGTGTCACAGAGCACCCTTCCATGTGCTGTGCACCACCTCATGTCTCTGTCCATGTCCTTGCCTGAGGGTAGTTTATCTGGGTGAAGCTACAGTGTCCTCACAGCCTGGACCTCAGACACAGAGCCACCAGTGCCCATCCCACCCTGCGGGTCCTCCTGGTACTGCATCCCGATGCTCCTGCATGACACTCATGCCCAGAACCACCAGTCCCATGCCACATTTGCACAGATTTCACAGGGCCTGCCTCCATGCCCTCACCGGGACACGGGTGTTCTCCTGTGTTTGTTTTCTGTATGAACCATCATCTGCGGGACAGGCGATGCTGGGATCTGGCATCACTGGGACATCCCAGGGCCAAGGTCCTGCCGCTGGGTTCTGCACTGAACCAGGAGGCCCTGCCCGGGCTGACCTCATCATGAAGCCCCTGGCTCCTGGTCTGTGTGATCCAGCTGTGATCTCTATTTTGGATGTCAAAGCCTTTGTTTAAACAAGATCCAATATAAAGGGAGTTGGTCTGAGAAAAAGAAGCCAAATCAAACCCAGCATCTTCCTACTAAGCCAAAGCGATGAGACAGCCATAGCTTCCATGCTCCGAGAAGGGCAAGGCGGCTCCGGCCACCCGCAGGGTGAGGGCCATGAAATATTTAAGTGCAGGAAAGCAGAGTCTGCCCAGCACAGCGGCTCTTAGACACCAGAGCCGGCAGCCTTGCCCAGATCAGCTCGCCAGCCTTGGTGGGAGGACTGGGCAGCGGTGGAAGGAGCCCTGTCCTGCTGGGACCTATGAGGGACACCATGTGGGCACCATGTCAGAAGTCAGGCCACCTGAACCTCCCCAGGGTCGTTACCAGGTTCAGGAAGAGCAGAAACCCCACCGGCCGGAACAGTGGCGGGAAAGGGGCCACCATCACTTGAGGGCCCCACTCTGGTCTCTCCAGGCAGGATGAGGCCACAGGAAGGATGCCGGGCCAGGGCCAGGCAGCCACAGGACAGGGACATCGCGGGTTCCTGTCCTCAAAGGCTCCCTGCACCAGCACACTGAACTGGTGGTGCGCTACAAGACTGCCCACCTCAAGCCCTGGTGGCTGAATTGAGGCCCTGGGCTGCCCCACCAAAGGCCGTGGCTGGAGATCCCACCAGCACCCTTGCCAGGAGGTGTTCTCTGACCCTGGCAGGTATGGTGGCCGCTCCAGCCCCATGCCTGGCCCGTGCTGTGGGTGTGTGCCCAGGCTGTCTCCCCTGGAGCTCTGCACTTGGCCTCAGCCCTGTGCTCACAGGAGATGCCCCATGTCCAGCAGGAGGCTGGCACGTGGTGAGCTCCCCCTCCTCACAGGGCCGCTGCCAAGAAGCTAGGCTGCACAGGCTGAAGGTGGGTGGTCCGATGTGTGCACCACGCACTCACACAGCCAAACCCTGCGGCCACCAGGGATGGGGGTCATGGCACCACAGTCACACCCCTCCAGAGTGAGGGGGACCCACCACTACCAAGAACAGGGACCCTGCCGTGAGCCAGCTAACCCAGGCTGTCACGGGGAGCGGAGGCTGGCCTCTTGGCAAAGCCACGTGCTGTGTGCTGGGGCCGGACTCCACCGCAGGACTGGGAGGATGACAGAACACAGGCTTGGGCAGTGGGCAGGAGACCTGCAGCCCTTGAGGACACAGGCCGGCCCCTCATACACACCCCGTGGGAAGGTCAGCCTGGGACAGATGCCCTGCCCAGCTCTGGCTCCGGCCCAGCGCCCAAGGCAGACCCATAAAATCTTTGTTTGCTTTTGTAAAACTTGGTTTACATTGTCTTAATGGGAGCACCAAATAAAGGTCTTCTGTTCCCACGTAGTGGGCATGGCACAAAACCACTCAATTCACTATCCCCGGGATTGTCGCCCCAAGTCCCCGCCCCACAGGAACCCAGGTGGCTATCAACAGAGGTCACTGGCCAGCCAGGCAGTGGCACAGCCAGGCCACTGTCCAGCACAGGGGGCGCCCACACCATCCTGACCGAACCACACTGCCCTCCCGGCCTGCAGGACCCCCACAGGCTCCACAGCCCCCAGCATGGGAACCCCCAACTCACTTCCCCAAAACCAAAAAAATTCCCTTGCCAGGCAGGCGGATGGCCACTCCAATCCCTGCTGCCCACTCCAAACCAGGAAAACCTCGTACCTGCTCAGCTGGAGAGGGGGGCACAGGCTGGAACAGACCTACAGGCTCCACTCTGACGGGCTCAGGTGAGCCACCAGCCCCTCCCCAGTGCGTGTCCACGGCCAGGGACAGCTCAGGGCAGGACACACTGACCGGCATATGCCACGAACGTGCCAGCTGACCAGTGCTAAGGAGTGGACACTTGCAACACACACATCAACCCAAACATACACGCAAACACACGCAGACACCCCTTCCACAGGCAGACACAGACACATCACACAGACACAGATACACACACCCCACAGGTTCACGCAGACACACACACCACACATACAGACACACACCATACAGGTACACACAGACACATACCCCCCACAGATACACGAGGTACATGCAGACACACACACAGGCACACACATACCACATAGGTACACGCAGACACACACAGACACACACCACACAGGTACATACAGACACACAGACACACCCCACGCAGACACACAAAGATACACACGCCACACACAAATATATGCAAATACATACACCCCACATAGACACACACACATACATACCACACACTGACACCCAGATATCACATCCAGACACACACACAGATATATGTCACACAGAGGTACACACCACACAGCCATAGAGAAAGACCTGTTGGAAATGACCTGCAGCCGAGGCTCCCTTCTTCCCGGGGTCCCCGCTCCCCACACGGTGTGCACACACCCTGGGCCTTGGGGAGCCGCCCCCTCCCGCTGGCTGGCTGGGCCATACATAGGGAGGGCCACAGGACTCAGAGCGGCGTCCGCCCCCAGTAGGGACCCTGACAGGAGGACCCCAGACGCCCAGACCAAGGGGCCCGAGGCTGTGCCGGAGGAGTGTGCTCCCCAGTGTCTACGGGACACCTGGCTTGGCCGCCTGCATGGCAGCAGCGGCCAGGAGCCAGCCTGTCCTCCGTCTCCACAGCTCACCAACATCTCAGAGTCCTGGGACTCAGGTGCCGCACCACCGGCCCTGACTGGGTGGACGGGTCCTGGGAGAGGAGCGGGCGGGCAACACAGCCAGTGAACTATCACCACAGCTCCCTGTGCACCACAGGCCCTGCCAGGACGGGAGGAGCCGCCCCTCCCTGGTGACCTGCAGGTGACTTGGCCTGGACAGCTCCCGAGCAGCCAGGGGCCTGGCCTCAGGAGGGTCACCCACGGATCACCAGGCGGTGTCCTTGCTGGCTCTGGACAACTCTGCGGGGACACCAGCCACCCCAGGCCAGCGCCCACCTCCCGACCCCACGGGGCCCGCCGTACCCCCGGGCGCCCTTCGGAACTGCAGGGACCCCGGCACCTACCATAGCGGCTGGGCTCGCGGCAGTAGCGCAGGATGGGCAGCGCGTCCACCCCCGGGTCGGGCACGCCTGAGAGGTCAGAGCGGGTGCAGGGGTCGGGGTCGCCGGGGTCGGGGTCAGGGTCAGGGTCAGGGTCAAGGTCCGAGCCACCGTCGTCCGCCTCAGGCCCCGTGTGCCCTGCCCCGCCCGCCGGGGTCACCACGAAGCGCAGGGACATGCTGGAGACCGAGCGCGGGCCGCGACGGCTGCGGGACTGGGAGC